TACAGGTACATGCTCCCATACCAGGCTAATTTTTTTGTATTTTTAGTAGAAACAGGGTTTCACCATGTTGGCCAGGCTGGTCTCAAACTCTTGCCCTCAGATGATCTGCCTGCCTTGGCCTCCCAAAGTGCTGGGATTACAGGTGTGAGCCAACATGCCCGGCCTTCTCATCCTCATTTTTAACATGAAAAACTTAAGGCCCAGACAGATGTGGCAGTTAATAAGCAAGAAGTCAGTAGTTCTGGGTTTAAGTTCCATCTTAGAGAGTGAACAGCTGTGTGACCTTGGGCCAGTAGTCACCTAGCCTCCGTTTCTTTACCTATAAAATGGAGACAAGGCTGGGTACAGTGGCTCATGCCTGTAATCCCAGCACTTTGGGAGGCCAAGGCAGGAGGATCAATCGAGTCCAGGGGTTTGAGACCAGCCTGAGCAACACGGTGAAACTCTGTCTCTACAAAAATACAAAAATTAGCCAGGCATAGTGGTACATGCCTGTAGTCCCAGCTACTTGGGGGACTGAGCTGGAAGGATCGCTTAAGCCTGCAAGGTTGAGGCTGTGGAGAGTAATGATCATGTCACTGCACTCCAGCCTCGGTGACAGAGTGAGATTCTGTTTCAAAAAAAAAAAAAAAAAAAAAATCTGGTAACAATAAAATAACCTATTTTAGGAAGTTAGAGAGAAAATTAAGCAAGCATTATTGAATGGATCAATTATGATACTGCATGTCAAGCACTTAGCACAAACCTATGTTATGGAATAAATGTTTGTGTCCCTCAAAATTCACATGTTGAAGCTGTAACCTCCAGTGTGGTTGTATTTGGACATGGGGCCTCTGAAGAGTAATTAAGATTAAATGAAGTAATCAGGGTGGGGCCCTGATCGGACAGAATTCGTGTCCATGTGAGAAGAGACACTGGAGAGCTCACTTTCTCTAATACCCACATTGCCTGCACAAGCACCTGAGGAAAGGCCACGTGAGGACATAGCAAGAAGGCAGCCGTCTGCAAGCTGGGAAGAGAGCCCTCATCAGAAATCAACTCAGTTGGAATCTTAATCTTGGACTTCCAGCCTCCAGAACTGTGAGAAAATAAAACCTGTTGTTAAAGCCATTTGGCCTGTGGTATTTTGTGATAGCAGCCCAAGCTGCTAATACATCCTTGCACATCCAATATACATTAGCTATTGTTGTTATCTGTTGTTACTGATACTTCTCATGTCCAAAGTCCCACAACAAGGAAGTCAGTGAGTGGCTGAGGGCCCAGCTGAGGAAGCAGGTCCTTCACTCATCAGGCCATCTTCCTGCTCTTGTGGCAGGAATCCCCCCCAGTCCTCTCCTGGGACTCCCTGTCTCCATGATTGCCTCTATCCATCCCTCCACCTCAACCACAAGGGCAGGGCTTATGGTACAGGAGGGGTGTGTGTGTGTGTGTGTGTGTGTGTGTGTGTGTGTGTGTGAGATTAACCCAGAGGAAGGGGGGGCTGTGGGGTAAGCAGGAGAAGGTTCCTTTCCTGATCAAAAGAAGCAGGAAATTCTCTTCTGTTTCTGGTTCCTGGGAACAACTTCTTCTTCTTCTTCTTTTTCTTTTCTTTTCTTTTCTTTTTTTTTTTTTTTTGAGACAGAGTTTCACTCTTGTTGCCCAGGCTGGAGTGTAATGACTCGATCTCGGCTCACTGCAACCTCCACCTCCCAGGTTCAAGCGATTCTTCTGCCTCAGTCTCCCGAGTAGCTGGGATCACAGGCATGCGCCACTACACCTGGTTAATTTTGTATTTTTAGTAGAGACAGGGGTTTCTCCATGTTGGTCAGGCTGGTCTTGAACTCCCGACCTCAGGTGATCCACCTGCCTTGGCCTCCCAAAGAGCTGGGATTATAGGCATGAACCATTGCGCCCAGCCCGGGAACTTCTTTAAGCTCTAGGAAGATAGGGATTGCTGGGGTAGTTCTGAGATTAACCGTCCCTAGTCCAAATAGGAACAAGCCCAAGGAATGGGCATGGAAGGAAATCAACTGATCCTTCCTGATCCAAATTCTTCCCTTGAAGATGCACTGCAGGTTTTTGGAGACATTTGAAAAACCTGAACCGGCCAGGCGCGGTGGCTCAAGCCTGTAATCCCAGCACTTTGGGAGGCCGAGACGGGCGGATCACGAGGTCAGGAGATCGAGACCATCCTGGCTAACACGGTGAAACCCCGCCTCTACTAAAAAATACAAAAAACTAGCCGGGCAATGTGGCGGGCACCTGTAGTCCCAGCTACTCGGGAGGCTGAGGCAGGAGAATGGCGTAAACCCGGGGGGCGGAGCTTGCAGTGAGCTGAGATCCGGCCACTGCACTCCAGCCTAGGCGACAGAGCAAGACTCCGTCTCAAAAAAAAAAAAAAAAAGAAAAACCTGAACCTCTTGCCCAGAACTCTAGAGGCATTATAAACAGATAACATACTTTCGCACCTTCAAGGTGTCTCCTAACATATACCATCTCATTTTATCCTTATAAGAGACTGGCAAGCCTTACAGTTGGCAGAGCTCAGTCTTGGAAGAGACGTACCTTATATGTGCATGTCACTTAAGAGGCCTTTCTCCCACCTTTTGTCATCACACAGATGGGTGTCTTTTCCTCTCAATGGTGAAGACGAGCCAGCCTAACCCATGCCTGAGTCCCATAGAGTACCCCATACAGGGCCTTGTGTAAGTAGGTGCTCAATAAATTTTGTAGATGGATGGATAAATGCCAGTGACTAGATCAGAGAGAAGTAAAACAGGTATTGGAGTTTTGGCCTATTGGAGAGGATAGTGTTGCCATTGTTCTAAGGAAGCAAGCTCAGGTATCTGTTCCTATAGCCTGGAACATCCACTCCTGCGCAGGCACCTGACATCATTTTAATCTTTATTATGTTATCATTATTATAACTGTCACTTATTGTCCACCGTTCAAAGTTAAAGTTCTTTGCAAATATCAAATCATTGTTCCTCACATCCACTATTAGGAGTTCCATTTAACAGATGAGGAAATGGAGGTACAGACTAGTTAAGTAATTTGCCCAAGGTTATTTAGCCAAAAATAGTGGAGCTGGGATTCAAACCTGATTGTTTATATCCTGGCCTTACAATTTTCTCTTTTTATCTTTTTGAGACGGAGTTTCGCTCTTGTTGCCCAGGCTGGAGTGCAATGGCGCGGTCTCGGCTCACACCTCCCGGGTTCAAGTGATTCTCCTGCCTCAGCCTCCCCAGTAGCTGGGATTACAGGCGCACGCCACTACGCCCGGGTAATTTTTGTATTTTTATTAGAGACGAGGTATCGCCATGTTAGCCAGGCTGGTCTCCAGCTCCTGACCTCAGGTAATCCGCCCGCCTCGGCCTCCCAAAGTGCCGGGATTATAGGCGCGAACCACCACGCCCGACCTTGGACTTAACAATTTTCAAAGTTCCTCCACTTCCCTCAGCTGAGCCTCACAATGGTCCTGGGAAGTAGACAGGAGTTTCCACGGACCACCCAAGGCCATACTGCACGTGGGAGCAGATGTGGAGCTAGAACCCAGGTCTCCCTGGGGCTTGTTCTGACACACAAAGGTCTGCATTGTGAAAGGACATGAAAGTCACACCTGCGGGGACTTAGGACCCAGCTAAATCCATGGCTGTGAATTCATCTCGGGATGCAGAGTTCCTGTAAGAAAAGAAAAGAAAAGAAGCAAAGAAAAGAAAAGAAAAGAAAAGAAAAGGAGAGCTAGGACGCGTGGACAGACGCTTTTGCTCCAGTTTCCATAGACACTGCCCCATTGGCTCATGCTGTTCCCTCCTGTTAGAACATCTTCATCCCACGCTCTTACTCTTGCTGACTCATCATGTTTCACAATACACTTGAATTTTTCTCTCTTCCAGGAAACCTCTGCCCTTCTCTGAAGAGGGAAAAAGTGACCCTCCTCATACTCCCAGAGTACCAGGTGATTCTCTACAGCATTATCATTAAAAATCAGGGGCTGCATTCTCTCCCTCTGTCCCAGTAGTCGGGGAGCTCCTCAGGGGTGAGGACTCCCCTTCCTCATCCTGCTGTTTCCTATTGGCAATGCCTGCCACTCAGTAGTAGGTGCTTGTTGACTAAGACTATTGATCACAGGCAGGTTTGAATGTCTTTGTTCCCTCATCTCTACCCCTGTTAAGGGATTACGGAGCGTCCTATTCATTTCGGGCATATAGAAGATGCTGTTAAAGTTTATTGAATTGAATGTAACAATCATTCTGCAAAATCTGAGCAGAGAAGTCATTAGGTTTCAAAATACTTAGATAAAAACATTAAGGTGGCTCACGCCTGTAATTCCAACACTTCGGGAGGCCGAGGCAGGCGGATTACTTGAAACCATAAGCTCGAGACCCTGACTACTAAAAATACAAAAATGAGCCGGTCGTGGTGGCGCGCGCCTGTAAATCTCAGCTACTCAGGAGGCTGAGGCACGAGAACAGCTTGAACCGGGAGGCAGAGGTTGCAGTGAGCCGATATCGCCACTGAACTCCAGCCAGGGTGACAGCGAAACTCTGTCAGAAAAACAGGAAACAAAAAACCTGTGAGGTACTGAGACCACAAACTAGTGCTCAAAATATAGCCATTTCCTTTCTTGTCTGGACTAAAGCGGGGTAGGGAAGGGTGAGAAGGAGGGGATCGGCCCTCCCAACAAGTCTCATCCTCCCCAGATGCTGCTCGGTGCTCAGGGGCTGCAAGTACTCTGTCTTTGCACAGAGGAGTGGGGACTCCAGCTGTGCATGGGGGCGCACGCTAGGCCCATAGCTTGATAATGGACCAGATGTAAAGTAAGGGAGGCGAAGCAGACGCTCTCTTGGAAAGGAGGCTCCTGAGTCCGTCTTGGGGCTTCCCCCAGCCAACTGTTTCCCAAATCAGTATACAGTAGGCACTTGGTAAATACTAAGCCTAGTAAAGGACTGAATGATGGTAGACCGAACCCCCAAAGCAAAAGAGAAAGGGTCCAACAGCGCCTCCTTGAGGTGCTCTGCCCCAAGCCACTGGGAGAAACGTTGCAGCCCGCGCCGAACGCCGGACAGCATAAAGGATTCCCGACCGCCGGGCAGCGGTGCTCGGAGGACACAGGTCTACGCCGTCCCTCACGCAGTTTCGGAGAAGGAGCGCTGGGCCCATGGAGGGAAGGCGGCAGGCTCGGCGGCTGCGGAAGCTCGCTGGGGCAGGGGCTCAGGGCGGAGGTCTGATGGTGGAGGCCACCGAGAACTGTCAACGGAGCCGCGTCCGCACAGCGAGCCTCCCTTATTCATTCAGGGCGAGTGTGTATTTGGGGCGGCGCGCGGGGGTGCTGACCAAGACCGGAGAGCTCCCGGCGCGGCCGCCGGCGGAGCGAAGGCTAGAACCCCTATGAGCGCCCCCCAGCGCCCCTGAGCGCTCCCTGCCGGTGCACGACGCCCCCAGCGGGAGGCAGGGATCAGCAGAGCCTCGCGCCCCGAGGCCCGCCCCCGTCTCACCACAAGGACCGTGAGTCCCGGGTCCGAGCCCTCCGCGCGGGGATCGGGCGGTTGCCCGGCGCGTTGTCCCTCGGCGGCCTTCTGGCCCCGCCAGCGCGGATGCGGGGAGGTCCACGCTGCGACCGCGGGAGGAGGGGTGGGCGGGGCTGCCGGGGGTGGGGGCCCCGGGGCGGGGCGCGCTGTGTCGCGTGTAGGTGCTCGGTCCTGCTGGAGGACGCCAGTGGCACACACTCGGTCCCGAGATGGCGAGCATACGAGTGGCTAAGGTAACCGCGTATAGGATGACCCCTTTCTCTTGGCTCCCCTCGCCCCCCGCATTCCCTCCTCTCTCCATCCCCTCCGCGGCTCTCCGAGCACATTCATTTATTTGTCTGGGCATCAGAGCTGGCTGAATCCCTGTCCTTCCCGCGCTCTACTCAGAGGAGGACTGGCCTGCAAGAGTGGCCAGAGCTAGAGTTTTAGGGGTTTGGGGGCCTCCGCTTGAGCCGTTTGCGTGGTGAAGATGAGCTAGCTCCTCCAAAACTGGTTTCAATTTCGCTTTTCCTGCCTGAGACTTGTGATAATAACTGGGTGCATCTCCAGTGCAGGAAAGGTCCTTGGCATCTTGGTGCCAGGCATTCTGCTACTGCTTGTGGTGGGTTATGAACACAGATGACCAGGATGAAGTCCTTGCCTTGGAATAAGCCCATGGCCCATCCCATAATTTGATGCCTGTATTACTAGAGTCCTGAGAAACACGGAATGCTGATTAGAATTTGGGGCAAAGTTCCCTGGGTATTCTCTGGAGGCAAGATGCGGAGGTGGACCTGGAAGGCCTCCTGGAGTAGGTGGCTTGCATTCGTGAGTTCTACAAGTGTTGAATGCCTACACGTGCTGGCCCTGTTCTAGGAGGTGGGGGTGGGGCGGGCAGAGATGAACACAAATCCGGCGGGCAGAGATGAACACAAATCCGGCCCTTGTTGAATTTTATTCCTATCAGGGACACAATTTGAAATAAGATCTGGAAGGATGCAGAGGGGGCAGTTCCCTCCAGAAGGTGGGAAAACCCAGGGTGTTTGGAGATGGATTAGGGAGGAAGGTGATCCTGGTGAAGTGAGTATGGCACCGCAAGTCTCTCAGAAGTGCCCCTTCCAGTCTGCAGGGTGGAAGGGCAGGCTCTAGGCGAGGAAGAGGGTGCCTGCTACCCACAGCCTCTGAGAAGAAAATGGCCTCAGACTGGGACGCCCAGAGCAGGCTTGGCCTAGATCCTAAATCTGGAGGTTGGCAGCAAAATGAGTCAGAGGGTCTTTCCAGCCAAGGGGAAGAGAGATGGGAGCCAGAATTTACTGCACTGGAACCATTACATGCCAAACAGTGTACATGGTTCTTTCATCTAATTCTCACAGCAGTTCTGTGAGATAAGTAATATATACCTGCATTTTACAAATGAGGAAATTGAGGCGCAGAGAAAATAACTTGCTTGTCCAGAGTCTTTCAGTAAGGAACAATGGGACTGGACTATGAAGCCAGGTCCACAGGCCTCCAGCCTGCAGGCTCTTTCAATGGCCTTTCTACTTTCATTTTCTGTTCCGGTTAGTCAGGTGATTTCCTATTAGGCAGTAGGAAAGAACTGTGTGTTTTAAGTTGGGTTTCAACTTCCTCAGGCTTTGGGAAAGTTTTGGCAGAACTCACCCTAAATAGATAAAGTCCAAGTGTGCCCAATTATAGTAAAGTCAGGGAAATGTTTATTCCAGTTCTTCTCTGGTCAGCCTTGGGCTTTGTTCTTGCCAAACAGTCACAGATGATAGAGAAACTCTTAGGAGTACAGGTGCTTCTAGTTTGGGGTAAAGATAAATGAGGGCCCATTGACTCTGGGTGGGAGGCACCAGAAGCAGCTTATTGGTTGAACAGAGATGGAAAGTAGACTGAGAGAGAGAAGGGGGGCATGGGATGTGTTTATATTATATGCTGGGGGTGGGGAGAAGGCAGAGAAAGTTCAAATGGTCCCCAGCGGTAAAGGACCCCTCCTCAACTGTGGACTGGGTTTGGAGAGCTTCCGTTTCTCAACATCATCACTGCTGACATTTTGGGTCAGGTAACTCTTATGTATCTGTTGTATGTTTTTAGATTTGAGGTTACTGCAAGGTTTATAAATAATATCTTATAACCCGTTATTTTAAACTAATGACAAGTTAACACTGATTGCATAAACAAACAAGCAAAATGAAACCTAATAAAGGCCAGGTGTGGTGTCTCACTCCTGTAATATCAGCACTTTGAGAGGCTGAGGTTGGCGGATTGCTTGAGCCCAGGAGTTTTGAGACCAGCCTGGGTAGTACGGGTGGATTGCATGAGCCCAGGAGTTCCAGACCAGCTTGGGTAACACAGACAAACGCCATCTCTACAAAACGTACCAAAATTAGCTGGGCATGGTAGCATACTGCTGTAGTCCCAGCTACTTGGGAGGCTGAGGTGGCAGGATCACCTGAGCCCAGGAGGTTGAGGCTTCAGTGAGCTGTGATTGTGCCACTGGGCTCTAGTCTGGGTGACAGAGTGAGTGTCTCAAAAAAAAAAAAAAAAAAAAAAAAAAAAAACAACAAAAACCAAAAAACAAAACAAAAACCTAATACAAACTGTACACTTTAACTTCGTCTTTCTGCTTTTTAACTTGTTCTTTCTTTTCTTTTTCTTTCTTTCTCTCTTTTTTTCTTTCTTTCCTTCCTTCCTTCCTGCCTTCCTTCCTTCCTGCCTTCCTTCCTTCTTTCTTTCTCTCCTCTCTCTCCTTCTCTCTCTTTCTCTCTCTCCTCCTCTCCTCCTCTCTTTCTCTTCCTCTTTTCTCTCTTTCTTTCTCTCCCTCTCCTCTCCTCTCCTTTCTTTCACAGAGTTTCACTCTTGTTGCCCAGGCTCGTGTCCGCCTCCCAGGTTCAAACAATTCTCCTACCTCAGCCTCCCAAGTAGCTGGGATTATAGATGCCCGCCACCACGCCCAGCTAATTTTTGTATTTTAGTAGCGATGGGGTTTCACTATGTTAGCCAGGCTGGTCTTGAACTCCTGACCTTAGGTGATCCACCGGCTTCAGCCTCCCAAAGTGCTGGGATTACAGGCGTAGCCACTGTGCCCAGCCCTAATCTGTTTTTCTGTGCACTTACTATTACCAGTGAGTTTTGTACCTTCAGATAATTTCTTTTCTTTTCTTTTTTCTTTCTTCTTTTTTTTTTTTTTTTTTGTTTGAGACAGAGTTTCCCTCTTGTTGCCCAGGCTGGAGTGCAATAGTGCAATCTCGGCTCACCACAACCCCCACCTCCCGGGTTCAAGTGATTCTCCTGCCTCAGACTCCTGAGTAGCTGGGATTATAGGCATGCACCACCACGCCTGGCTAATTTTGTATTTTTAGTAGAGATGGGGTTTCGCCATGTTGTCCAGGCTGATCTCGAACTCCTGACCTCAGGTGATCCACCCGCCTCACCCTCCTAAAGTGCTGGGATTACAGATGTGAGCCACCGGGCCTGGCCCAGATGATTTTTTATTGTTCATTAAATTTTTAAAAAAATTTCTGATTGATAGGCCGGGCGCGGGGCTCACGCCTGTAATCCCAGCACTTTGGGAGGCCAAGGCAGGTGGATCACGAGGTCAGGAGATCGAGACCATCCTGGCTAACACGGTGAAACCCTGTCTCTACTAAAAATGCAAAAAATTAGCTGGGCGTGGTGGTGGGCGCCTGTAGTCCCAGCTACTCGGAGGCTGAGGCAGGAGAATGGCGTGAACCCAGGAGGCGGAGCTTGCAGTGAGCCAAGATCGTGCCACTGCACTCCAGCCTGGGCGACAAAGCGAGACTCCGTCTCAAAAAAAAAAAAAAAAGAAAAGAAATTTCTGATTGAAGAACTCCTTTTTAGCATTTCTTATAGGACAGGTCTGATGTTGATGACATCTCTCAGCTTTTGTTTGTCTGGGAAAGTCTTTATTTCTCCTTCATGTTTGACGGATATTTTCACTGGATACACTATTCTATGGTAGAAGTTTTTTCCCTCAGTCATAGTTTATTTAAATATGTCATACCACTCTCCCTTGGCCTGTAAGATTTCCACTGAAAAGTCTGCTGCCAGACATATTGGAACTCCATTGTGTGTTGTTTATTTTCTCTTGCTGCTGTTAGGACCCTTTCTTTATCCCTGACCTCTGGGAGATTGATTATTAAATGTCTTTGAGGTAGTCTTCTTTGGGTTAAGTCTGCTTGGTGTTCTATAATCTTCTCATATTTGGATATTGATATCTTTCTCTAGATTGGGGAAGTTCTCTGTTACTATCCGTTTCAATAAACTTTCTAGCCCTGTCTCTCTCCCTACCTCCTATTTAAGGCCAGTAACTCTTAGATTTGCCCTTTTGAGGCCCTTGTCTAGATCCTGCAGGCATACTTCATTCTTTGTTTATTCTTGTTATTTTTTTTTTTGAGACGGAGTCTCGCTCTGTCACCCAGGCTGGAGTGCAGTGGAGCGATCTTGGCTCACTGCAAGCTCCACCTTCTGGGTTCACGCCATTCTCCTGCCTCAGCCTCCCGAGTAGCTGGGACTATAGGTGCCCACCACCACGCCCAGCTAATTTTTTTTTTTTTTTTTTTTTTTGTATTTTTAGTAGAGATGGGGTTTCACCGTGTTAGCCAGAATGGTCTCGATCTCCTGACCTCGTGATCCGCCAACCTTGGCCTCCCAAAGTCTTTGTTTATTCTTTTATTTTTTTGCTTCATCTGACTGTATTTTCAAATACCCTGTCTTTAAACACTCTAATTCTTCTGCTTGATCAATTCTGCTATTAAAAGGCTCTGATGCATTTTAGTATGTTAGTTGCATTTTTTTCCTTTCTTTTTTTTTTTTTTTTTGAGACACAGTTTCGCTCTTGTTGCCCAGATTAGAGTGCAATGGTGTGATCTCGGCTCACTGCAACCTCTGCCTCTCCAATTCTCCTGCCTCAGCCTCCCAAGTATCTGGGATTACAGGCATGCGCCACCATGCCCGGCTAATTTTTGTATTTTTAGTAGAAATGGGGGTTTCACCATGTTGGCCAGGCTGGTCTTGAACTCCTGACCTCAGGTGATCTGCCCGCCTCGGCCTCCCAAAGTGCTGGTATTACAGGCGTGAGCCACTGCACCCGGCCTCAATTGCATTTTTTGACTCCGGAATTTCTGCTTGATTCTTTTTAATTATTTCAATTTTTTTGTTAAATTTGTTGATGGGATTCTGAATTCCTTCTCTGTGGAGGAAATATTTAATTTCTTTGAGTTTGCTCAAAACAGCTATTTTGATTTCTGTGTCTGAAAGGTCACGTATCTCTGTTTCTCTGGACTTGGCCCTTGTGCCTTATTTAGTTCGTTTGGTGAGGCTGTGTTTTCCTGGATCGTCTTGAAGCTTGTGGATGTTTGTTGGTGTCTGGGCACTGAGGAGTTAGGTATTTATTATAGTCTTTGTAGTCTGGGCTCGTTTGTACTCATCCTTCTTGGGAAGGCTTTCTAGGTATTCGAAGGGCTTGGCTCTTGTGATCTAATTTTTGGTCACTGCAGCCATGTCTACATTAGGGGGCACTCTAAGCCTAGTAACACTGTAGTTCTTGCAGACTCTTGGAGGGCACTACCTTGGTGGTTTTAGATAACATCAGGAAGAATTCTCTGGATTACCAGGTAGAGACTCTCATTTTCTTCCCTTACTTTCTCCCAAACAAATGGAGTCTTACTGTGCTCCCTGGAGCTGGGTGAGGTGTGACACAAGCGTCCCCATGGTCACTAGAACTGGGACTGCACTAGGTCAGGCCTGAAGCCAACACAACACTGTGTTTTGCCCAAGGCCCGCTGTAATCACTACCTATGTAGTGATTCGCTCTGCCCTATGTTCGCTCAAGGCCCTAGGGCTCTACAATCAGCAGGTGGTGAAGCCAGTCAGGGTTTTTGTCCTTCCCTTTAGGGCAGTTAGCTCGCTGCTGGGCCCCAGACAGGTCCACAGTTACTGTCCACGGGCCAGGGCCTGCAGTCGGAAACCTTAGAAATTTACCTGGTGCTCTGTTCTACTGCAACTAAGCTGGCACCGAAACCACAGAACACAGTCCTTCCCACTCTTCCCTCTCCTTTCCCCAGATATGGGAGTCTCTCCCCTTGTCCACCACCACCATGGGTCTATGAGGAGTACTGTCAGGGTACTAGTGCTGATGTTCGCCTAAGGCCCAAAGGCCCTTCAGTCAGCTTGTGATGAATGTGATCAGGCCTGAGACTCACCCTGCAGGTCAGCGGTCTCCCCTCTTGTTGGGCCTGATAATGCTTTGTTAGGATGTTTATCAGCATCTCTGGCCTCTACCCACTCTCCCAATTTGTGCAAACGGAAAAATGTTCCCAGATATTACCAAATGTCGCTAGTTAGATAAAATTGCCACTGGTTGAGAACCACTGGTTTGTACCAATTCATTGTTCCAGAGAAATGTGACCTGCCCTTGAGTGTCTTTTTATCTTCCCCAAGAAGAAAAGGCCTGTAGTCCCACAAGATGGACCCTAAAAGAGGGGCAGCATTCCTTTGTCAAATACATTTAAGAAGTACTGCATGCTGTGGGCCCACATCTTGGTCAATCACCATATACAATAGCATATTAAAGGCTAGGGAAGTTCTACAGTGAAGAAATCTCTTTAGCCTAGATTTCCCAAATGTACTTGACCTTGGAACGCTTTTCCTGTACTACCTATTAACCTTCTGCAGGACATACTGTACACATTTGCCCCATCTGGGCCCTCTACCCTGGTGCTTCTCCCCTTCTCTGCATGGATTCCTGCTCATTCTGCATGGCCCAGCTCACAGAGTGTACCCTCTATGAAGCCTTCTTTCTCCCCTCTCATCTCCCTCCCTACTGTATATCCATACACATTCACATAATCACATCCATGTTTCGTCCATTACTCTACTGAAATTCTTGAGGACTGGGTCCTGTCTCAGTTACATGCCAGTAGAGAATGCTCAGTGATAGCAGTTGGGAGAATTCAAAAGGGATATTCAGGTGCTTGGGCCACAGTTCTGGGAAGGTGAGTCACTCCTTGCCCCCTTGTTTCCCTGCTTGGAGTTCTTCTCTGCTGTGGTCTTCTGGAGTCATTTCCTTTCTCCAGCCCTGATCTGGCAGAGTTTGAAGCAGTGGGGTCCTGTCTGCTGTAGATGCTCAGTAGATGCTTATTGAAGGAAGAAAGGAAGAGAGGCAGGGAATTAGAACCTAGTGACTTTTTAGGAAGAAGGCTAGAGAGCAGAGGTTAAGTACCTTGCTTTCAAGAGAAAAGCCTCCTAAGAGCACTTACTCTCAAGTTTTAATATCTGGGAGAAGTGATCTATTTTTCCCTGCACTGAGTACCTAGGTGTACCAGAGTTGTGGTGAGGCCACAGTTAGAAAATTCACTTAAAGCACCAGCACTGGCTGGGCGCGGTGGCCCATGCCTGTAATCCCAGCACTTTGGGAGGCCGAGGCGGTGGATCATGAGGTCAGGAGATCAAGACCATCCTGGCTAACATGGTGAAACCCCGTCGCTACTAAAAATATAAAAAATTAGCCAGGCTTGGTGGTGCGCGCCTGTAGTCCCAGCTACTCAGGAGGCTGAGACAGGAGAATGGCGTGAACCTGGGAGGAGGAGGTTGCAGTGAGCCAAGATTGTGCCACTCTACTCCAGCCTCGGCGACAGAGCGAGACTCCATCTCAAAAAAAAAAAAGAAAAAAGAAAAAGTTCCAACACTGTGCCTGATACATACTAAGTGCTCAGTAAATGCAGGCTCTGACTTTACCAGCTTCTGCCCCTAAGATGGCCAGTTTTGGACTTGGGACAGCTTGCTGCTGGGACAGGGGGAGGGGGCTGAAATAGGGAGGACTAGGTCAACTGCCCACTCAGCTTGTGTCCCCTGCAGGAGCTGGAGGATCTTCAGAAGAAGCCTCCCCCATACCTGCGGAACCTGTCCAGCAGTGATGCCAATGTCCTGGTGTGGCACGCTCTCCTCCTACCTGTGAGTATCCATGGGGACTGTGGCTTTGGATTGGGGACAGCTTAGGCCAGGGACATGGGCAGGGAGGGTTAGGACTAGGCAAGAATTTTCCCTGCCTTGGGATCCTTTTACTGGACGTTATCATTGCTGGAGGGGTCCTCTCTCTGAACTGATTGCTTCTGAGATCCAGATACTTCTGAGGTTCATCTTCCGATAAAGATGCCAAAGGACTTTTGGACTTAGTAGGAGACCCCTTCCTTAAATCAGTAGCCACCAAGCCCACCACAGAACTTCAGGAGACAAACAGCATCAAAAAGAAGAAGAAATAAAGATCTCTTGGACCTTTGTCAAGGGGTAGGGATAAACTTCCAGGCTCCCACCATTGGTAGAATTTGCTCCCGCGAACTTAAATTGTATTTTGTTTTTCTTTAGTCTTATTTCAGAAAATTGTTACATATGAAAACACAAATGCTCATTTCTACTGTTCTTATTTTTCTCTGTTTATTATTTGGTATTTTTTTGATAAAGTCTCTCTGAAAGCAGTATTCCAAAATAGTTATCAGAGTGCAGATCTCTCTTTTTTTCATCCGATTATTAGTGACTAAAGATACTTTGAGAAATTAATCTACACTTTTCGTTACTTGGAAATAAAATTGAAGACATTGAACTTTTGGTTAGTCAAAGCTCTTTGGAATGTCAAGGGAATAATTCATCTTATTATTTAGGATTTGGACTTTTTTTTTCTTTTTTTTTTTGAGACAGAGTCTCACTGTGTCACCCAGGCTGGAGTGCAGTGGTACGATGTTGGTTCCCTGCAACTTCCACTTCCCGGGTTCAAGCGATTCTCCTGCCTCAGCCTCCTGAGTAGCTGCGACTACAGGCACGTGTCACTATGCCTGGCTAATTTTTGTATTTTTAGTGGAGACAGGGTTTTGCCATGTTGGCCAGGCTGGTCTCAAACTCCTGGCCTCAAGTGATCTGCCCACCTCGGCCTCCCAAAGTGCTGGGATTACAGGTGTGAGCCACTGCACCCAGCAGGGTTTACTTTTTATTGACAATGCAATGGCCTAGGTCGTGTCATCTTCTCTTTAAACTAAACTGTAGTCCAGAAAAGTAGAGAAAGGCCTGAGTCAGGTCACCGTAGGAATCTGTCAAGTCCCTTGGATTACTGTGTTGAGCGATCCACTTACCTGGCTTAGAGTGAGCACACCTGTTCTAGACCTCAGGTGCCAGGAGAAGATGCTCAAAGGAGCTCCAGGAACTGATTATATCTCCAAGGAGACCAACTTTGAGATGATGAAAGTAAAGCGGGGGTGATAGGAAAACCTAGGAAAGGTCTCGTTTAGCAGAATACTATGAAATCAGAGGACCTCAATGGTTGGCAAGACCAAGGTGGTTAAGTGTGCCCCAGGAACTGGCCACAGACCTTCCACCCATATAGGTGTCCTGAAGAAACATGATACTTGGGAGGAATCCCAGAACTGGAGAACCAAAGCTTGATGTAAGTCATCAGCTAACCTGAAGGTTCCTGGTGAGGCCATAAAGGAGGGGATGGTTGACTGTCAGAGGAAGGAGAACCAGGAAAGGTCTTTTGGAATAGCAGAGAAATTCCTCCTCAAAGACTCGGTCTCAGTTTATGTGTTCACCAAAGTGGCCCCACTTGTCACATCTTGGTCATGAAAGGTTTCAGCTCGATGAGCCTTTTGAAGCTGATAGTAAGAATTCTCATTCCTTGAGAGTCTCCTGTGGACCAAGTGCTGTTTTAAGCACACGACATATGAGGTCATATTGAATCTTCTCAACCGTCCAATGAGGAAGGTTGTCTTCCTCTTAAAATTGCGGAGATAGAAACCAAGGAGGTTAAGTAACTGGTCTGTGGTCACTCAGAGTAAGGTAGCAGGAGTGGAATTCAGCAGACTCCAAGGTCTTCTCTTTTAACCACTCCATGAAAAACGAGTAGTTTTCAAAATTTTTTAAAAAGTAGCAGGCTGGGCACGGTGACTTACACCTGTAATCCCAGCACTTTGAGAGGCTGAGGTGGGTGGATCACCAGGGGTCAGAAGTTTGAGACCAGCCTGGCCAACATGGCTAAACCTTGTCTCTAGTAAAAATACAAAAATTAGCTGGGCATGGTTGTGGGCACCTATAATCCCAGCTACTCAGGAGGCTGAGGCATGAGAATCTCTTGAACCTGGGAGGCGGAGGTTGCAGTGAGCTGAGAATGGGCCATCGCACTCCAGCCTGGATGACAAGAGTGAAACTCTGTCTCAAAAAAGCAACAACAAAAAGTAGCAGAATACTTTATTTAACCTAGAACTTAGAAGGTAGTAGGACTTTCTCAACTGACTGTAAGATACAGTATGGAATCCTCTGGTCCAACTTCTTCATTTTACAAACACGGAAACTTATCCTCAGAGAAAGCTTAGTCACACAGCAAGCCTGAGGCAGAGCTGGGACAGGTCCCCAGAGCTCTCAGCTCCGTGACTCTGCTACCTCCTTCCTCTGTTAAGACCTACAAAGCCCAGAAAGAAGCCCTTTCAGGCAGGACACACTGATACCCCTGTCTTAGTCCATTTGTGTTGCTGTAAAGGAATACCTAAGGCTGCATAATATATAGAGAAAGGTTTATTTGGGTCAAGCTTCTGCAGGCTGTACAAGAAGCATGGCGCCAGGTGCAGTGGCTCATCCCAAAATCCCAGCACTTTGGGAGGCCGAGGCAGGTGGATCACCTGAGGCCAGGAGTTCAGGACCAGCCTGACCAACATGGAGAAACCCCGTCTCTACTAAAAATACAAAATTAGCCAGCCATGGTGGTGCATGCCTGTAATCCCACCTAGTTAGGAGGCTGAGGCAGGAGAATCGCTTGCACCCGGAGGCAGAGGTTGTGGTGAGCTGAGATCATGCCATTGCACTCCAGCCTGGGCAACGAGAATGAAACTCCATCTCAAAAAAAAAAAAAAGAAGAAGCATGGCACCAGCATCTGCTTCTGGTGAGGCCTCAGGAAGCTTCCACTCATGGTGGAAGGCAAATGGGAGCCACATGTACAGATCACATGGCAAGAGTGAGAGAGAGAGAGAGAGAGAGAGAGAGAGAGAGAGCAGGTGCCAGGATCTTCTAAACAACCAGCTTTTTCAGTAAGTAATAGAGTAAGAACTCTCTTATTACTGTGAGGATGGCACTGAGCCATTCATGAGGGATCTGCCCCCAGGACCCATACACCTCCTACTAGGCCCCACCTCCAACACTGGAGATCACTCTGGAGTGCAGAGTGAGACTCAAACTGCAACCTCTGCCTCCCAGGTTCAAGCAATTCTCATGCCTCAGCCTCCTGAGCAGCTGGGACTACAGGCGCACGCTACCACGCCCAGCTACATTTTTGTATTTTAGTGGAGACGGGATTTCATCATGTTGCCCAGGCTGATCTCGAACTCCTGAGCCCAGGCAATCCACCTGCCTCAGCTTCCCAAAGTGCTAGGATTACAGGCATGAGCCACCACCGCACCGGTCTTGGGGATAAAATTTCAACCTGAGATTTGAGGAGACAAACATCCAACCACAGCACCCTCCCATCCTGCTCTGAGGCCTCAGCCATAGGCCTTCTCTGACTGATAGGCCCAGCCTTTTCTTCTTGAGACCATAAAAGGTGAGATATTTTCTCTTTATCTTCCTACTCTTTTATACTCTATCTTTTTTTTTTTTTTTTTTTTTTTGAGATGGAGTTTTGTTCTTATTGCCCAGGCTGGAGTGCAGGGCTGTGATCTCTGCTCACAACGTCGGCCTCCCGGGTTCAACTTCCACTTCTCAGTTCCTGCCTCCGCCTCCCGTGTAGCGGGTGTTATAGGCGCACGCCACCATGCGCAGCTAATTTTGTATTTTTAGTAGAGACAGGGTTTCTCCATGTTGGTCAGGCTGGTCTCGAACTCCCGACCTCAGGTGATCCACCCACCTTGCACTCCCAAAGTGCTGGGATTACAGGCATGAGCCACCGCGCCCGGCCTAGTTACTCCATCTCTCATCTCAGTGTGCTCGAGGTCACCATGATTTCTGTTTTGCCTATTAAGGAGGAGGAGCTCTGAAAATCTTGACTCTCTGCTTAACCACATATGCCATTCTTGCTGTCTTTGCTCTGTCTTTTCAATAACAAAGGCTCTGAAAAGATTTGGTAATTTGGAACCAACCGGAAGTCCCCTTTGTTCTGCACTGGGGTCACCCAGGTTCTGGGGTTTCTCCCTCCTAGGGCTGTGAGTAGTCATCTTGTGTAAAGGTGTAGGGTTGACAGTGCCGGGTTCCCATCCCTGCAAGGCTGCTGTGGTCCTAGGTGAGTTACTTACATACACTGAACTTGAGTTTTCTCCTCTGTAAATAGAGACGCTGATAATTGTTTTTATACCTATTGTAGTAACTGACACATATGTAGTACTTGCCATGTGCCAGGCGCTGTTCTAAATCCTTGGCATAAATTAAATCATCTCATCCTCACATATGCCTTATGAAGAAGTCTATTATTATTGTCATATGGAAGCATGGAGAGGTGAAGTTACTTGCTCAAGATCACATTGCTAGTGAGTGTCAGAGCCGAGTCACACCCAGGCATGGTGGCTCCGGAGTCTGTGTGACCCGCATACTCTGTTGCCAAGGCTAATGCATGTCAAGTCCTTAGCACAGGACAGCACAGATAGGCGCTCAGAAAAGTGTTCAGGTCGCTCAAAGTCTAGAGGGTCTTCTCTTGGCTCCTTGCAGCTCCCAACCCCTCGGTCACTCTAGCCCCTGAGTTTGTTTGTGTTTAATTAAGGTAAAATACATATAACACAATTTACTATCTTAACCGTTTTTAAGTATACAGTTCAGTGTCATTAAATAGGATTACAGCTGGGCATGGTGCCTCATGCCTGTCATTCCAGCACTTTGGGAGGCCAAGGTGGAAGGATCGCTTGAGGCCAGGAGTTCAAGACCAGCCCTGGCAACATAGTGAGACCCTATCAAAAAATTTTTAAAATTATCCAGGCTTAGTGGTGGGCTCCTGTAGTACCAGCTACTCAGGAGGCTGAGGTGGGAGGATCACTGGAGCCCAGAAGTTTGAGATTACAGTGAGCAATGATAATGCCACTGCACTCCAGCCTGGATGACAGAGCGAGACCCTGCTTCAGGAAACAAACAAACAACCATGGTTGCACAACCATCACCATCGTTCATCTCTAGAACTTTTTGTCCACCTGTACTGAAACTCTGTACCCCTTCAGTAACTCCCCATTCCTTTCTTTCCCCAGCACCTGGTGACCACTTTACTATTTCGTTTCTATGAATTTGACTATTCTAGGTGCTGTACTTCAGTGGTATCTTGCAATATCTGTCCTTTTTTGTCTAGCTTATTTCCCTGAGCATAGTGTCTTCAAGGTTCATCCAGATTGTAGCATATATCAGAATTTCTTTCCTTTTAAGGCTAAATAATACTCCATTGTGTGTATATGCCACGTTTTGTTGATTGATCCACTTGGTTTGCTTTCACCTTTTGGCTGCTAGAAACATTGGTATACAAATACCTGTTTGTTTTCAGTTCTTTGGGTATCTACCCAGAAGTAGAACTGCTGGATCATATGGTAATTCAGTGTCTAATCTTTGGAGAAATGGCCATACTGTTTTCCACTGCAGCTGCACCTTTGTATTTTCCTAAGTTCCTGAGTTCTTAGGATTTCCTCATTTTCTCCATTTCCTCACCCCCATTCTAATGTTCTAAGAAAGGATGTTCCATCCTTTTCTTCCATAATCTCAGAAATCCATGAAAGCTGAGATGGTCCTTAGAGCTCATCTAGTCCATCTTTATCCACTTTACAAATGAGGAAACTGAGGCCTAGAGGTGGGAAGTGGCTCAACCGTGGTCACACAGCAAAAGCCTGGATCAGACTTCTCTGCCTCCCAGGCCAGTGCCCTTTGGTGATTTCACATTTTCACTAATCCATGACTCAGTTGTCAAATGAATGCAGGTGCTGTGCGTATCCTGGCTCATGTGTCCCCCGGGAGTGAAGCAGAGGATGCCTAGGACCCTGGGATGGGGGCAGGAAGGGAAGAAAACCAGACCGGAGCTTGACCCCTTTTCTCTCTGCACAGGACCAACCTCCCTACCACCTCAAAGCCTTCAACCTGTGCATCAGCTTCCCGCCTGAGTATCCGTTCAGGCCTCCCATGATCAAATTCACAACCAAGATCTACCACCCCAACGTGGACGAGAGCGGACATGTTTGCCTGCCCATCATCAGCAGTGAGAACTGGAAGCCTTGCACCAAGACTTGCCAAGGTGGGGCTGGGCTTTGCCCGGAGGAGGGACTGATACTGGGTAGAGATTACTGGAAGGGGGTTTCACAGACTTATTCTGAGCTTGAAAAGCCCCGAAGAGAGGAGGTGAAAATTGTGAGTCTTGGCTGAACTTACTGTGAGATAGAAGGGATGTTTCCTGGACAGACTGACCTCCTCCTGCCTCTGTTCCTGTACCTGGGCAGTTGTGACAGAGGAACATTGCTGTGGTTCACGAGAGAGGCAGCCTGGCTGTACAGGGAAGGGCTCGGGATAAGAAAGCCCGCTGTTCCCTCTGTGGACTTTGGGCAAGTTTTCGTTCCTTTCTGGTACTCGGTGTCCTAAATGACAGTGGAGGGAACTGGCCTCATAATGAGAATAGCTGTCACTTGACTGAGCACTTTCAGCGCTGTGCTGAGAACATCACATGCGGACTTCATTTTCATTTCCTCCACCACCCCGTGAGGTAGTGTTGTCGTTAGCCTTGTTGAATAGACCCGGACATTTGAGGCATGTGAGAGGCGAAGTGGTTGCCTAAGGTCATACAGATGGCAAACGGCAGCACTTGGCTGAGTCGCGAGCCACATGTGACTGTTGCAACTGAGGAACTCAGTTCTTTTCCTTTTTTAAGACGGAGTCTCGCTCTGTCGCCTAGGCCGGGGTGCAGTGGTGCGATCTCGGCTCATTGCAACCTCTGCCTCCCAGGTTCAGGCGATTCTCTGGCCTCAGCTTCTCGAGTAGCTGGAATTACAGGTGTGTGCCACCACATCCAGCTAATTTTGTGTTTTTAGTAGAGAGGGATTTTGTCATGTTAGCCAGGCTGGTCTCGAACTCCTGACCTCAGGCGATCCGCCTATCTTGGCCTCCCAGAGTGCTGGGATTACAGGTGTGAGTCACTGCGCCTGGCTGGAACTCAATTCTTAATGGTACTTAATTTTAATTTTTTTTTTCTTTTCTTTTGAGACACGGTCTGTCTCTATTGCCCAGGCAGTTAGTTCAATGGTGCGATCTTGGCTCACTGCAACCTCTACCTCCTGGGCTCAAGCCATCCTCCCACCTCAGCCTCCCGAGTAACTGGGACTACAGGAGCATGCCACTACACCTGGCTCATTTTTGTATGTTTTGTAGAGACCAGGTTTTGCTATGTTGCCCAGGCTGGTCTCAAACTCATGAGTTCAAGCCATCCACCCATCTTGGCCTCCCAAAGTGCTGGGATCACAGGTGTGAGCCACCGTGCCCAGCCTGATTTTGATTCATTTAAATTTAGATGCCTGCCTGTGGCTAATGGTTACCATATTGAACAATGCAGCTCTAGAGCCTGTGACTGAGTCAGTGTGCAATCCTCTACCTGGACCACCTCAGGAGTTTTTAACTCAGGAAACAAAAGTCCTTTGCTTGGTGGGAGTGGGAGCAGGGAGAGGAGTGGTCCTTGGATGAGCTTCAAGGGGTCTGGGAACTATCTGTTTTGCACGTGGAGTGTGCGTCTGTCTCAGGAGATGGGCTGCTACCTTCACCAGGTTCCCAAAGGCATCTGTGAAAGATGAAGAGCCAGGGGGCCATGGTGGTTTTCAGTCTTTAGCCTTAGACCCCTTTTGCCCAAGGAAAAGTTTATTTGGACTATCAATATAATGGAGGAAAACAGAGTCGTTTTTGTTGAAATGGGGATAAGACCCAGAAACCTCACTTATTTCAGTGGCTCCCATGATGAAGAGCTTCTCTGAAGCCATGGAATGTAGTTGTTTGAAAACCACTGATGTCATCAGTCAAGGTCTTGGGTGTCACCAACCAAGAATGAGCGGGGTGTTTGATCCGGTCATAGAGTCAGCCTAAGAGATGGAACCTTTCCTCCAAGGAGTGGGTGTGGAGTGTCAAGGCATTGGGAGTGGGCAGCCGTGACCCCCTTCCCTCTGCCCTGATGTCCTGGCCTGTCTCTCCCCAGTCCTGGAGGCCCTGAATGTGCTGGTGAATAGACCGAATATCAGGGAGCCCCTGCGGGTGGACCTCGCTGACCTGCTGACAGAGAATCCGGAGCTGTTCAGAAAGAATGCTGAAGAGTTCACCCTCCAATATGGAGTGGACCGGCCCTCCTAACTCATGTTCTGACCCTCTGTGCACTGGATCCTTGGCATGGTGGATGGACACATCTCATGGACTGAGGCCAGAGCCCCCTATGGCCCATTCCCCACTCATTTTTTCTTTCTTAGGTTGTTAGTCATTCGTTTGTGTGTGTGGGGTAGAGGGAAGGGAGCTGTGAGTGTGTGTGTTGTGTGTGGACTCACTCCCGGGTTCATCTGGCCACAGGTACACCCTTCCCACAGCCTTTGCATCCCCCAGAGCCAAGGGAGTTTAAGTTTGCAGAGTTACAGGCCAGTTCTCCAGCTCTCCATCTTAGAGAGACAGGTCATCTCGCCGGCCCGCTTGCAGGAAATGAGCCCTGCAGCCGACTCGAATCCCCCTAGGGCTCAGGCACTGAGGGCCTGGGGACAGTGGAGCGTATGGGTGGGAGACATATGGAGGGTACCCTATTTACACCTGAGTCAGCAAAGCCACTGATGGGAATCTACAGATTTAGGTGCTAAACCGTTTATTTTCCACGGATGAGTCACAATCTGAAAAATCAGACTTCCATCCTGAAAATCTGTATGTTTCAAAACCACTTGCCATCCTGTTAGATTGCCAGTTCCTGGGACCAGGCCTCAGACTGTGAAGTGTGTGTCCTCCAGCATCCAGTCCAGGGGGAGCCACAGAAACCATGATCTTGCTTAAGCCATTAAAGTCAAAGATGAATTCTGGAGTGCAGCTGAGTCTTTGATGAGGCGATGGGGTAGTTTCATCAGGACCAGAGAGGACTAGGGATTTAAGCATAAATTTCTGACCTTGCTTCCCCTGGATGTTCCCCAAACATCAAAAGGAATGTTGGCTATGGAAAAATAGGCCATCCTTGGACAGAGGTGCTTTCAGAAGGTACACAGGGATGACGTCCCCATTTTATTTTTTTTATTTGAGAGAGAGTCTCACTCCGTCACCCAGGCTAGAGTGCAGCAGTGTGATCTCGGCTCACTGCAACCTCCGCCTCCTGAATTCAAGCGATTCTCCTGCCTCAGTCTCTTGAGTAGCTGGGATTACAGATGCCCACCACCACAACTGGCTAATTTTTGTAATTTTAGTAAAGATGGGGTTTCACCATATTGGCCAGGCTGGTCTCGAACTCCTGACCTCAGGTGATCCACCTGTTTTGGCCTCCCAAAGTGCTGGGATTACAGGTGTGAGCCACCACGCCCAGCCAACATCCCCATTTTAAAGATGAGGCAATTGAGGCACAGAGCACTTCAGTGGATTGCTGGGGTCCACTCTGCCAATCCACACCCCTGCAGGTGAGCCAGGGTTGTGGCTGGGATGTGTTTTGTTTTCTGTATTTTTCATGAGCTGCTTTTATCAGCACATATGCCCCAAATGGCTGATAAAACCAGACTGGATAGTTAGCAGGAAATTGTAATCAGCTCAGGAGTTTGTATCTCATGAGCAATGGAAAAGCAAAAACAAGCCAAAACTTCAGCCAGATAGAGGGATTAACTTAACCCAGAGGAAGAACTTTCTGGTTGCAATTGTTGTAAGCTCCTGGAATACTGCTGGCTTTTCAGAGACAGAATATGGGGTGATTTGAGTCAAGGAAGTCAACCAGATCCCACTTGTTTCTAGAGAATCTTCTCCAGCTCTTGCCCTGGAGTGCCCTTACCTGAGAAGCGTGGAAAGAGGGGAATATAACCAGAAGAAGTGCCACCAGAGTCAAAATGTAAGTTTGTTTTTTATTTTTGGCGACCACTTACTGAACACTTGAGTGGCAGGACTGGGCAAAGCTTTTTGCCCTTTTCATTATCTCATTTGACTCTCGCAACACCTTCATAAGGTTGCAACTCCCATTATCCCCTTTCAGCCTGTAAACTGAGGCCCAGAGAGGTTAACTGTATGGCCCAGTGTCACACAGCTGGTTAGTGGTGAGACCCAGGCCATTGTCCTTTCCCAGACACCTTGCATAGTTATTGATACCTCAGCCGGTGAGGAAACCCCTGTGTCCAGAGTTTATCATCCCAGAGTGCAGACGTTCTTGGGCCAAGTATGGAGTGGGCACTGAGGGGCCAGAGAGGATTTTACAAAAGTACTTTTAATGCGGTTAAAACCAACGCCACATGCCCTTGCCTGAGCCCCTGGCTCTGGTGCCTCCATCGAGCAGAAGGGAGCCCCCAGGCCACAGCTGGTGAGCTGGGCACCCTGCCCATCTCTGCCCACAGAGCCAGTCACCTCCTCATTTCTTCTTGGTCTTCACCAGTCCTTTCTGCACGAGGCTGCGGTACAGTTCCTGGATGTAGGTGTAGACGCACTTGGAGTCGGGCACAGCCAACCGCACCATGTCATCCACGTCCAGCAGCTGAGCACAGTCAGCCAGTTTCCTAAGGAATGGGGTAGAATGAGGAGCAGAAGGTCAAAGGTGAAGGATATGGGAGCAGAAGGTCAAAGGTGAAGGATAAGGGGATGGGTGCCGGCAGCCCAGCAACGATGAAGCTCATAGGATGGGCTGGGATGTTGGAGCTGGGAGATCATCTAAGCCAATCATCCCATTATATAGATGAGATAACTGAGGCCACAGCAGAGTTAAGACAAACCCAGGCCAGGTGCCGTGGCTTCCTTTAGCTGTGATCCTCCTATAGGTAGGTCACAGGATGTAGACAGGTAACGCCAAAGCCAACCCCAGTGAATACTTCAATAATGAGTTTGAGGCCAGGCACAGTGGCTCACACCTGTAATCCCAGCACTTTGGGAGGCCAATGCAGGAGGATCCCTTGAGCTCAGTAGTTCGAGACCAGCCTGGACAACCTAGTGAGACCTTTTTGGAGAATGGGAGCTTCTCAAAAAAATAAAAACAAAAATTAAAATAATAGAAGACTCAAACCCAGCTGGGTCTGATTCCAAAGCCCACATTTTCATTGCACTTCTTGTCCTCACCTGGGAGCAGGACCCTCTGGTGTCTAGTTCTACATTTACCCACCACTTTCACATGCATGTGTATGTGTCCTCTGGAACTGGGGAGCTTCTGGTAGGCCAGGCCCCTCAGGAAGAACTTAAAGGGGCCGGGCGCGGGGGCTCATACCTGTAATCCCAGCACTTTGGGAGGCTAAAGCAGGTGGATCACCTGAGGTCAGGAGTTCGAGACCAGCCTGGCCAACATGGTGAAATTCCATCTCTACAAAAAATAAAAAAAATTAGCTGGGCATGGTGGCGGGCACCTGTAATCCCAGCTACTTGGGAGGCTGAGGCATGAGAATCACTCAAACCCAGGAGGCGGAGGTTGCAGTGAGCTGAGATCACACCACTGCACTCTAGCCTAGGCGACAGAGTGACACTCTGTTTCAAAAAAGAAAAAAAAAAAAAAAAGATAAAGGACAGAAACCAAATCCTAGCCAGAGTCCTGGCTTGCAGCTGCAGCATCTCCAGGAGCATCATTCATTCAGTTTCTATGTATTTATCAGGAGCATATTATGTGCCAGGCCCTCTTCCAGGCTCTGAGAATTCATCAGTGAATAAAACCAAAACTTCCATACTGTCATGGCATGGACATTCTTGTGGCGGGAGACAGCAAGCAACACACAAAGTAGGTGGTACATCAGATGGTGAGAGGTGCTCAGGAGGAAAATAAGGCAGGAAGGGACACAGGGTATGTTCTTATGTTGGAGGAGATCTGGTATTTTTTATTTATTTTTAATGTATTTATTTATTTTTCAGATGGAGTCTTGCTCTGTTGCCCAGGCTGGAGTGCAGTGGGGAGATTTCGGCTCACTGCAACCTCTGCTTCCTGGGTTCAAGTGATTCTCCTGCCTCAGCCTCCCAAGTAGCTGGGATTACAGGTGTGTGCCACCACGCCCGGCGAATTTTTGTATTTTTGGTAGAGACAAGGTTTCATCATGTTGGCCAGGCTGATCTCAAACTCCTGACCTCAAGTGATCCACACGCCTTGGCCTCCTGAAGTGCTGGGATTACAGGTGTGAGCCACCGCACCCAGCTGTGGTATTTTTTAATAGGGTGCTCAGGGTAGGCCTCTTAGAGTAAGTCATATGCACATCTGGGGAAGGGAGTCCAGGCAGAGGAAACAGCAGGTGCAGGGGCCCCAAGGCAGGAATGCTTGGTGTGTTTCAGGAGCTGCTGGCACTTGGCAACAAGTCCTCTTTTTTTAACTTCGCAGCTGCCCTTTGGGGCTCTGTGACACCACTGGCTTTGCTGAGTCCGATAATCTGAGCTAATCAGTTTTGAGGCCTCACGCCAATCTCATGCTTTATCAGACGCTTCCCCTTGGACGTTCTCATAGACTCCTTCCCTCCATCCTCAGCCAGCAGAAGAGGAAGCGGAGACTCAGAGTGTTTCGGTGGTTTGCCCAAGGCCAAAGTGAGCAACACAACCCCGGGGGCCTGTCTGACACCTCTGGCATCCTCACTCTGAAGCTGGGTCTCAGCAGTCCCTGCCTACCAAAGCCAGCCATAGGTGCTGGCATAGGAGAAACCAGGGCCCCAGTGGAAATCCTCCCTTGGGGCTGAGACTGCAGGGTCAAAATCCACGCTGGACTGGGAGCCGTGGGAAGGACACACACTGGAGGATTTTGGAGAATGGGACAAACTCCCTGCAGCCAATGCAGTGGCCCATGGTTGTGGGTTCGGATGCTGTCCCTCTGTGTGGGAGAGGCAAAACCTTCATTCCCACTGAGCCGGGGGAGTGGGTGGGGAAGGGCTCCGCCACTGGGGGCTTCAGCATTGGCCACTCCCTCCCCTCATCCCCGGACTCCATGGGAATCGGAGGAGAGTTCTGGAACAGGCAGTGGGGTGTGATGGCTGTGGCAGACACTGTTTCCTCTTCACACTGAATCTTTACAGCAAGCCCTGTGATGTGGGGCCTCTAGAGAGGCTAAGACAGCTGGCCAGAGTCACAGAGCTGGGGAGGAGGAGGCGGGATTCAAACCCAGACACCTCCGCTTCTATTCTCCTCCCTCCTTCTCCACACATCCCCATGACCTCCTGGGCTTTCAGCTGCCTGATGCCTCCTGTCGGCCTGTCATTGTCATCTGATGACTCCTCCCACCTTCCAGCGGCTCTGCCTGGCTCAGAACCAGAGTCCAGGCAGCTGCAGGAGCAGGACAGTGGTTCACAGCCTGCGGTTCAGGAGCACTTGGTCAGAGCAGAGCTGCCTGCCCTTCTGATATTCACTTAGAGTTGTAAATCCATACTGTGAGTTTCCCTGTCATTTTTTAAAATTGTAGTTTTTTTGTTTTGTTTTGTTTTGTTTTGAGACAAGGTCTTGCTCTGTCACCCAAGCTAGAATGCAGTGACTCAATCATGGCTCACTGCAGCCTTGACTTCCTGAGCCCAAGTGATCCTCCCATCTCAGCCTCCCGAGCAGCTGGGACCACAGGTATCCACCACCATGCCCAGCTAATTCTTTGATTTTTTGTAGAGATGGGGGTCTCGCTATGTTGCCCTGGCTGGTCTTGAACTCCTGGCCTCAAGCGATTCTCCTGCCTCGGCCTCCCAAAGTGCTGGGATTATACAAGTAAGCCACTGCGCTTGACCCAAGCAGAGATTTTTGTCTGTTTCACCCACTGCTGTATCCCCAGAGCCTGAAACAGTGCCTGGCCCTCAAAAAATGTCTGTTGGGTATATGAATGTGTGGCACCAGCATCAGTGTAACTGCCCACTACTCAACCCCTGTGAATCCAGTCCTCGCCTAGGATCCCATCCAGCTCTGCCAGCCCAT